ATTACTAGTATGATAATGTATGATATGTATCATTATGTATCGCATCTATGGCTGTACACATCATGTTTATCTATAGAATCTATGGCCCATTTATGAGTAAAGTGGTGGTTTGCCATTTCCCCACCTGAGATTCCCAGGGGCTCGGTGGCAAACACCACCATGATTCAAGGTGGGCGAAGGCTACTTGAAACGACCTGACTTGACGGCCAGGCATGGCTCTGGGACGAAGCATTCAAAATACCATCTGGTAATTTGTCACATAGCTATTGAAAATGGTGATTTATTGCTGTTTAATGGAACTTTATAGGGATTTAATGGATTATAAATGGGATATAGCCTCTGGTAATTTATCACAGTTTGCTATTGAAAATGGCCATAGAAATAGTGAGTTTTCCAATGAACAATGGTGATTTTCCATAGTTATGTAAACGTTTACCAGAGGGTACCTTTCTTCATTGGTTTGTTGCACTGAAAAGCCATTTACCAGCTATAGATGGTTATAAAATGTTATAAATGGTTATAAATATGTGATTATCATTCCACATCATTCCATTTATCAGGGGTTATAGCATGTTAGAACTGACGGCCGTAACTGGTAAAGGGCCGCAATTCTGTGGGGAGTATCTATGAATCTATGATGGAATCCCTATCAAAAAATGTATATGTTTTTTCATGGCGAACTAGCCAGGACTCGTGTTTTCAGGTTAGATAACACTCCACGAATCATTCGGGTAGGGTGATCGTAAAAACGACAAAGTCGTGATTTTTTTGGGGTGAACTGCGAGTAGAAGCTCTGACAACTGGGAATATCACTGTTTTTGCTTCATGGATTAGAGGATACTTCATGATATTCAATGGTTATTTTTATGATATGTCATGATACTTCCTGATATTTCAGGGGTTACAATATATGACTTCGAAGCCAGTTTTCAGAGCATCAAGGACCTCAAGTGGGTCATCCAAGTGGCTTCGGATGGTAAATGCTGACAGTCCTTCAAGCTGGTTCAATCAGAACCGTGTTACGATGATGACAGCTTTGTTTTTCTCAATGCAAGAGATGCATACTAGGCCTCCAAAAATGACGACCATGTGATTTCAGTTTTATCATGTTTCTTGGCGCAATTGTTCAGATGTGTGGTATTTCACGGTATGTCCATGTTGATGATACTTTGTACCCTTCGGAGGATCCGAAATTATTTCATTTTTAGACGCGTGTTTCTGTTTGTTTGCCCGTGAGGCAGCTGTTCCATCATTTGATAAGAAACTCAATCCATGACCAGAATCAGCCGAGAGCATCTGAAAGCAATCCATTCCATTCCATTCCATTCCATCCTTTGCTTAATCGGCTTAGTCACAATTTTCCCTATGATTTGATATGATCATTTGATGGTTTTTCGGTGCAGGGCCATGCAGGGCCTCAGACACACCCATTTGGATTCTGTTATGAATACTATACCATGTATTGTTGGTAACCCACCCATATGTTTATGATTGTTTATGAATGTTTATGATCTGGTTAGGAAAGCCACCCCAATATCCATCAATATCCCCATGTTTGCGTGATCTATCTCATATATTCTCATTTCTCATCTTCAAGTTCCATGTCTTCCATGTGTTCAACGTCCATCATCTCTCCTTTCTCCATGTGGACCGTGTGGACGTCGTGCGAAATTCCCAGGCAATTTCGAAGTCACGCAGAACATGGGAGGCTTTACCTTAGCCTGGCACCGTAGTGACGTGGGTACAGCTGAGGGGTGTCATGATGAATGGATCTGGCCCGAATAGCTGGTTTATTTCATGGAAAATCCTATGAAAATAGATGAACATAGGGGCTGCCCCCCATGACTCCATGACTTAGGAAACCTCCATCTCAGTTCTGAAACGTAACTTGACCAGGTTCAAGGCATGGCTTGAGCAAACATGTGGCACCAAAGTCTTAACCCTCGAGATGACTCAAATTCCAGGATCCCTTAGTTTTTTGTTGGCATTTTCAATTCATGCATAGTACCAAATGGATCCATAGCTGGTTGATACTGGTTGTTTGTGTGTTGACTTCCCCCATTTTTGTGGGTGACTTGGACTGCTTCGCGTTTTTTGTGTTTTTACTGCTCAAGTCTCCCTGCTCAAAGCAGCAGTTAGTCGTCTGAACCAGCGAACGTCGACGACGTCGATCGCTGAGGATTCTGCAGGGATGACCTTGGGCGTTGGGCCCGTTGGGCGTTGATGTCAGAAAAGTCAGAAGGGCAGGAATAGCATCCTGTGGTTTAACAATGTTTTTTTTCTGTAGCGGACAATGTTCCCCCATTTAGATCCATTTAGTTCAATGATTTGCCTATAGAATTTCCATGTTGATTTTCCAGGTCCCAAACGAGTTGTCATGGCCATTGCCAGAGGCTAAATTGGTCAAGTTCCGACACCAAGAAGTTGAACAGAGTCAACGAGGATCATATGGATCTGTGATATTCTGTGAGCAAAAAATGGGACATCCTTCTTCAAATAAGTCAAATAAGCATATATCGAATATTATAGAATTATAGAATTATAATGAATTATAGATGATATATTACTACGATATGTATTTTGGCTCTGAAATTATCACGCCCCTCTTCTTCAAGACCAAGAATCGTTGGAGCCATTGCTTTTGGTGCGAGTCTGCAATCTTGCACGGCCAATCCAACTTGACATTTTCATCTACGCAAGTTTGCAACATGAGAGCGGATCAATAGCAACTGAACCCAACATTGGATTGATGAACATCCCCATATGAAACACTTTCGCTTCGTTGTAGGATTTCTCATCAGGGTAGGCTTTCATGAAAAACCCGGGCAGGGGATGCCGCCTGCCAGGAAGCTCCATCATGGAGAATTTGATGCAACGATTTCCGGAGAAGAAGCCTCCAAGCTGAGTTGTGACGATGGAGATGCCATTTTTTTTTCGGATGAACACATTTGTGAAAACGATTTACGTAAGTTTGGGGTCAGAGCTGTTTTTGAACCATCCTTCTTTTTGCGAAGTCTGATGATCAAAAGTTTGGGAACCTACTCATGGTTTCCATTGTGGTGTCTGATCGATCAATGAACACTTATTTGGCCAACAGAGTGAACAAGGCCAACAAGGCATTGTCATGCAAGACTGAAACAGGCCCAAGTCATTTCTCATATGTGTTTCACGTTTTTTTCCGATTTCTGACGGGGTGTAGACTGTAGACCCTTCTTTTTTTCCGTCCCGTGGCCGAAAAACGATCCATCTTTATGGCCAAGTGAGGTACGATGTAACAAACTACATCGAAAGCCACTGAGCAGCGGAAGACTCCCGTGGAATTTGGTAACCCCCAGGAGCCACGTTTTTTGGTGCAGTATGGTGCTATCCTGCTGGTCTTTTGGGTTGATCGACCTGGTGACCAGGTCTTCCATCGCGAAATCATCAAAGTCGAACATATCATTATCATTCCGTAAATCTATAAATCGTTAGATATAGACGCACACACTCATATGTATCTTATATGAATATATATATATATACCTGTAACCTGAACGACCTCTAAAACGGAATGCCTTTCAAAAAATCCATCATTTCACTTTGAGATCCTGTCTTTTCCTGAAAGACCCGTACTTTTGGAAAAGGTACCTGTTTTGGAGGATGTTCTGATCCAAGATACCCCCATTAAAACCATTCCTACCCGATAGTTAAACTTTGAATTCTTGGGATGCCCTTTTTAACTATTTATTCTATAATATCCCTGTTGTGCTCATCCCTTGCTGGGTCTGAGCCCCCACTTGAAGGGAAATCAATCCCAACCGCTTGGTTCCCTTGAGCGCGGCAATTTTTGCTGCTTGTGGCCCTGGTGACTCAAGCTACAGCTCATGGCCTGGGGCCTCAGCAACAGCTTGAGATGAAGGAATTGCTGGCATCTAGATTTTGGTATCATTCTACATCAAGAATATCACGCATAGGGCCCATGAAAATGATAACATGTTGGGATATTGGCAGTTAACCACTATGCATTTTTCATTGGGGTCCCCAACACCATCCAATATCCCCAAGCAAAACAAAATTATATCAAGCGTTGGTATCTTAATCCCTAGACCCAACCCAATACCGAAAGAAACACATAGGGGCTATTGGCAATGACATTTTATAACACGTGCATGTCTCATCATGTATCTATTTATGGGAATGACCAAAAGAACAAACAATTGGTTTTCTTGTCGGTGCGCGCTCTATGTGAATGTGTGTTTTGTTGCATTTTTCCCCACCTGCCAGGTGAGGGTTGTTAGATTTTATGTCAGTTGCCTGCTCCTCTCCTCCTCTCCTCTCCTCCTCCTCCTGCTCAACCGCGACCCTCGACGCACAGTGTTCTCTGTCGGACCTCAACCACGACCATCCACGCCCAGTGTTCCCTGCCGGACCTCAACCACGACCATCCACGCCCAGTGTTCCCTGCCGGACCTCAACCGCGAGTATCCACGCCAAGTGTTCCCTGCCGGACCTCATGTAGGAAGATATGGGACAAAGAATGTGCAGAAGAAAGTTAGAAAGAATGTCAGACAAGTATGTTATATATTACTTGCAAACTCGCGCGTGTGTGGTAGAGTGACCGGGGCAATGCCACTTCTTACTTTGCAGGTGGCAAAGTTTGAAGCAATGAGTTTGAACAGATGACAGAGTCACTGGGGTGGACAGAGACATTTCCACTTCTGTACCTTTGGAGCTGTTTGCAAAGACGCTTGAGACAGGCAACATCTTACAGCAAGTTACTACAAATTACTTGAAGTGATCTCATGCTGGATTGATGCTTGAGACAGTCAACATCACACAGGGTTTCTGTTGTGTAAGTGGTCCCGTGACAAAAGCTTCAGACAAAGGTGGTGTCAACAAGCTGTTTTGAAATGTCATGGTGGGGATCACTCGAAGCAAAGTAATTTTTGTACCTTAACGGATTCTTCCTTGTTATTGGCACACATCAACACACCTATGTATGTCTGCAGGGATTTTGGTTTCTTCACAAGTTGGACGCTTTGCTTCGTTGCTACCTTACCTTGGTATGGCGGGTGTGGCTGTTGAGTTGCATGACTTGGCTGATGAGTGGGAAAGGGACACCACCATAAGGGCACGTCTCCGAGACAGTGGGGTGCTTTTCGTTGAGGAATCTGAGGGCACCCGTTTGGCCACCAACATCCGTGGAGCTGAGAGGCACGCAGAGGTGCTCCTTCCTCTTCTCCCAAGGCTTCGTCGGGGAGATGACATCGGCATGTGCACGATTCCCCAGCTTGAAGTTGAGACACTCAGAATTGTGCTTCAACCTCCCTGTGTACAAGAATCGTTTCCATCCCAGGGATGGTTGCTGTTGCTGCTGTTGCTGTTGCTGCTGTTGCTGTTGCTGTTGCTGTTGCTGCTGCTGCTGTTGTTGTTGTTGTTGCTGCATGTTACTCTTGTTGTTGTTTTTTCGGCCCTCTGAATGTTGGATATGTGTGGCATATGGTATATGTCCCCATCTACCATGCTGGTTGATAAGATATGCATTTACTTTTTGAGCATGTTTTTAAAGGCTAGATTTTTGTTGAACCCAAATATACATACATATGAATATATACACATGCATGCAACTGTCACTTTTACAACAACATGGTTTCCAAGTCAATGATTGCGGTTCATCTTAGGATTTCCAAGCTCTACAGCATGGTGAGTGCCACCACAACTTTGCCTTCTTCTCGTGGGCTAGTGCCTGATTCCCAAAGGGTCAAGCTGGAAGCGTGGTTCTGCAAAGGCTTCTGCGTTTTGGTGAAGAGGAAGCTCTCCCGTGGCCAAGTTCCCAGGTCTAAGGTGTTTCGTCGGCTTTTGAGTGCGCTTTCTGGTCAGGACAGGGTTTTGTTTTGGTCGTGGTCATTTAGACTTTGTGCCTGGTACCAATTTTCCATATCAAACGTATATATAAAGCCAAAAGGACAAAAGGCCTTTTAAAATTGGGGGATAACCTTGTGCTCACCCTGCTGTACTGCGTTGCCTTGCCAGAACTGGGACGATCCAGCAGAACCTGAAGGAGAAGAGGAGCCACACCCCGAGAATCCAGAGGAGCGAGATGAAGATCTAGCACTTGGTGACTTGGGCGATGGTGGTTCTGATCCTGAAGGTGATGCTTCTCCACTTGTCATCGAAGATTCACAGCCTGAGCCTGAGGTTGCCGATGATGAGATGGAACCTTTGGCAGATGAGGCTGGTGGCAATTCAGTCTTTGACGGTTCACTCTCTGGCTCTGAAGCTCCTGGTGACGAGGAGGCCATTCCTGCATCCACTGATGCTGTTCGAGGTTCTGACAGTGAGATACCATCTGACCCGTCTGAGTCGGAGCCTCCAAAGAAGGCCTTCGAGAGTGGAGAGGAGACGGTGGACCACAAGCCCGTCAAGGTTCAGGTCTTTGGGAAGTCGCCAGCCTTTGAGAGAGCCCAGGCCATCCAGAGAATGCTTCAGAATGCCAGGCAGCGCCGTCAAGCAATGATACTTGAAGTTGGCTTACATTTTTCATTTTTGGGAGAACATTGGATTTGAATTTCTTCAGTAGGTTTGGAAGCGAAGTGCCTAGAAAGGGCCCAAGTGGGTAAAACCATTCCCTGCATGTTGCCGACTGACACAGTCTGATGTCTTGTGTGCTGCGCACTTTGGGTCTTAAGTGTCATCTTTATGGTCTTTTTTATCGGTGTTGCCAATTTCTGTTTTCTCTCTTTCGTTTTTTCTTTCGTTTTTTCTTTCTCTTTCTCTTTCTCGTTCTCTTTCTCTTTCTCTTTCTCTTTCTCTCCCTCTCTCTCTCTACATCTTTCTCTCCCTCCTTTGTGTTGTGCTCTTTGGTTGGGCCGGCCCTGGCTCAGTTTGTCTCCTGCTTACTTTCCTGTCCATCAAAAAAAATGTTATTGGAGAGAGCACTGGGTCGCATGCCCAAAATTGTTGCTCCCCAAGGATTGCTGGCATTCCTCAGCCGGCCTGTGCTGGCCCCATTGAGATCCATGACAGCCTTCCTTTTGGCGCCGACAATGTGGAGACCCAGCCGGTGCCAGAAGCTGATGCGGCAGCTATGGCATCCCGCCTTTCCCGCGAAACTGAGTTTGAAGAACCCAATTTGGGCGAAGAAGATGCCAAGTTGCTTCGCCGCAATCAATTGGACCTGAAACAGGCCAGCAAGGATGAGGATGGAGCGTGTGCAGATGGCCAGAAGCCAGCCAAGGCCCCACGTGGCAGGAAGCCCAAGGGTGGCCCGAAAGCTGCTGCCAAGGCGAAAGCCAAAGCAAAGGCATCATCAGCAAAGGCAAAGGCGAAGGCTTCAGCAGAAGCCAAGGCGAAGGAAGAAGGTCCAAAGGCCAAGAGCAGGGCCAGGAAGAACAAGGCAGCAGATCCTGGTGATGCAGCCGCTGTTCCAGGACCTGCTGCTGAGCCCAAGCGCAAGCAGAAGAAAGCCAAGCATTCTGCTGGTCCTGAAGTTGATCGTGCCGTTGAGGCTGCTGACGCGGCCGTGGCCACTTTGAGAAAGCCCAAGGGGGAAAAGCGCTTTGCCAAGCGCAGGATGCCCTCCGCCCCGTTTCAACGTGCCAAGTTTGTGGCCATCCGGGCAGCCTTTGAGAGCAAGATCAAGCCGCTGTTGACAGCTTTTAGCGCCCATGAGGACTGTCTTTCAGAGGTTTTTACAATGTTGGTTTTGGAAGTTTCTGGGCGGGTGTTGTTTTGAAACTCTGGGCCCATCACATGTGATTGGTACATGTTTGCCTCATTTTGCCTCATGGTTTGTGCATCTTGGTGCTTTGGCGCCTCTGCTGTGATGGCTTGGCCAAATGTGTCATGGTTGTGTGTGTGTATGCGTGTGTGCTAGTTTTAACAGAATACACACAAGCTGACTAGCAGCATACTATCTTCAAACATGAAGAAAAACTTTTTAATGCCATATATGTATTTATATGTCTTCTTCACTATGCAACTTTAACATTGGTAAACGTGTGTTTAACCCGCAATATTTGTGGACCATTGTGGCACCAATTCTTTGGGCTTCATTTTGTGGGGGAAAGATGAAGATGCCCCTGACCATTGATTCAAGATGTTTCACATCATACTGAACCCCAGGTAAAGGGATAAAGCCAACAACAATGAAATTAGAAGCACTGGTGGGTATCCCTTACATGAACAAGCTTTGAAAATTATCCGTAATTTTCCCATCACATCCCTTCATATTTATATATATATATCATAGAACCACATGGGACCAGACAATGAAAAACACCCAATTAAAAAAAAAACAAAGGTTTCCAATATATATTGTTAGTTTTTAGGGATTATGGATTGAAAAGTCAACCATTCCGACCCGGCTACTTTCAGGACTACTTCTGGACCTTCACCGGCAAGGCTTGGAAGACCAAGCACATCAGCCTGGACAACATCGACGCCGAGGCACTTGTCGCGGCAAAGGCATACGTTGAGCAGCTCGTTGCGACCGGCATCCTTGAGTGAGCAGATTTGAGATTCTGATAGCAGCAGTTTGGCATGGGCGCCTACAGGTTTTTCTGATTTTTTGGATTGATGCACACATAACCCATATTTATTTTATATGTCAAACAAATCCATCTTGAGGGCTCTCGTCCATTCAGGCTGTTATCCCTGAATCATGAATATTCCTGGGATGAGTGGAAAGGTCCCACCTTTTGTGGAGCGGATGGCTTCTGCCATATGTTAGCAGAAACTGCTACCAGCTTGCAGTGTGTTAGCTTAGGTTTAGCCCTGGGGTATAGTGATCCATGACCACGTTGTTCTTCCTTTCAGAGAGTTATATTGTTTCTATATATGGGAATGATCACTCATTTTTTGTTAGGTATCATGTATGTATAAAATAGAGCACCCCCTTATACTTTCTTCTCCGCATTCCTAAGGAACCATGTGGTGTTGGGATCACTGTAGTGGCTGCAGCGCTTTCAGAGCTGCCCTGGTCGCTTCCAAATTGGCCATCTATCCAAATCAGTTTCTTTCCATTCAGCGGTGGTGACAAAATGGTTTTTGACTCCATCCCTTGACCCCCCATGGATGAAGGCAATTTTCCAATTGGACTCTTATTGATTTGTGATCAGCTCAACGATCCCCCCAAAATGCTAGGGAACTTTTGGGAACTTCACCACTGTAAACTTTTTTTTGGTCAAGTCAATCTACTTGAATTTTGGGATAGGTTCCAGCTTCGTTTTCCCCAACTGCCAGGGTAAATTCTGCCAGTCCTTGTCCTCTCAGGTCAAATGGCCAAGCCAACCTAGCAGGCATGGCGCGTGGCATGCGTGGCATGGGCTGGAAGCGGCGACTGGACCCTGACTCGTTGAGTATCAACGTGGAATCTTCAAAAAGTACATCTTGCATGTTTATTGGTCACGTTGCATTGCCCAGAAATTGTGATGGTCCCATTTCAAATACAAACCGGTCCCAGAGTTTCAGGGTTGATTGGTGGAAAAATCGCAGAGACCAGCTAGAGCGGGTTGTGGGGTGAATGCAACTTATCGGACACACTTGGTTCGAAACCAGGGCAAAGTCAAACAAAAGAAGTTCCAATTCACCCATTTGACAAGTAAAACTTAATTCATTCACAACTAGTTACGTGAACACATACGCATGCACCGTTAACGCAGTTCATGCAGGTATGCGCAATTTCAACTTTATACGAGCTTTGCTTTTATATATGCGTATTCTATATAATGAACATGTTCTTGCAACACATTTATACTTGTAAATGAATTGCTACGCAAACAAATATTCACGATGTATATATATATGTTATTTATCAGAACAATGTGATGCATACATTGCATGCTTTCAATAGACATGCTTCTAATATTGGTTTATAAACTTACGTGCGTATGTACAAACAACATGTCAGGTTACATGCAAATGTGTATCTAAAACAGGTGGGATACACAAATACATTTATCAATCTATGATAGATAGGTAGATAGATAGATAGATCCACACATAGATATTTAGGTTATACATTATCTCTTAACTTTACTGGCCTTGCCCGCCTTTTCCAGTGGGGCCCCGTGCGCATTTCTTGCAACTCCAGCCATGCCTTCCAACGCCGCTGACAAGCTGGATTTTGTTCTCAAACAGCTTCACTGTTTGGGGGCTCCCAAGGCCGGAGTGGCTTGTTGGTGAAGTACATTACTCCTTAAGAAACAAAGTGAGATAGTGCCAGTTATTTTGGTTGTCAATTTCAATCTATATATACTTATATATATATTATACACATACATACATATATATATAAGTATATATAAGTATATATATATAGATATAAATAATTTCCTTTCCAGGAAGGATATGGGAACATCAATCAAAACAGTTGTGTTCTGGCATCCCCGCATTTGCAATCCCCTGGATCGTAGTTCTGCCATCTATCTGAATGGATCAGTGCTTTCTATTCTTTTGATTTCAGTAAATTTCAACTTGAGGAAGGGTTTAATTAATGATTCCTGAGCATGTGGCGCATGGAGGCGCTTCTGGGGCTCATTCTCCTCCTTTTTCTGTCGGAGAATGTTTCGATGTTTGGAGAGGTTCGAGCGGGCTATTGTGATGGGTATGGATGCAACAGCTTTTTACATTCAGCTTAAATGATTGGGGCATGTTGCACAGCTTGTCCATCCGCTTCGAGAAAAACATGGTAAGTCGTTGATTCTTAACAACAATCTTTTCCATTGTGTTCCATGTTAGAATTTTCACCCACCCCTTGCCCATGGTGCCCCCTGATGCCAGGCGTACGAATTTGTGGAAATCTTTGCTGGAGAAGCATGGGTGAGCCGAGTAATGCGATCCTCTGGGAGGAGAACGGCCAGTCTTGATATTATGTTTGGTGATCCACTTCCCGGAAAGCAAAATGTCATGGACTTGACAACCCCCAGTGGATTTTGGTTTCCTGGTTAGGCAGTTAGCACTGCATGTTTCAACATTTATCAGAGCAACAATCAGATTGAATTCATGCGTGACAGATTCAATTCCTACATGGTGCTATTGCTGTTCCCCCATGGGATGAAGTTCTGAAGATTTCATTTCTTTAAGGGAAATCCCAAACATATACGATGCTGTAATGTAAATATAAATATAAATATATATATATATATAATATTCATATAAACGTGCAGGATTTTGACTTTAAGGGGAATATGAGTTGGGAATATTTGGGAATACGGTTGGGATTATGCCAATATGAAATCGGAGTGTCTATTTTGTTTGTTTTTCAGGTGATCCCCACAACCTGATTAAAAAAGCATGTTATCTAATTTTTGGGGATCCTAAGCGGGAACCCAAAGCCAAAAAGTGGGAACGATGTATATACTTGTTGGGGCCACAACGGGCCATTGTGCATCCAAGTCTGGCGCTTTTGACCATCTTGAACATGAAGTTCGACGCCAGCTTTTGCGTTGTCGGTTTGCTGTGCAGCTCTTTTGTGTCTATAAATCAGGCTACCCACTGCCGTGCACCATGGTTTCCCTTGGGTGACACGGGGAGGCCCCATGTTGCCTTGGGAAATTTTCTGGCATCACGGACCCTTGGTTGTACCAATGAACCCTTAAAATACAATACCCCCTCAAATTTAAGCCATGTAAAGTTGCCAAGGTGGGTGTTGCGCAGGTAAGCATATATATATTTAGCTTATTATACTTATCCAGTTTGGTTTAACTTGGTTGGGAAAAGTCACTTGGGAACCTTTCAATTGGAATCATTGCGCCATTGAAATGCTGCCCAATGATTGCTGACTATACAGGATGTACCTTAAGCCATCAACATAAACAAAGGACGGATTTCCCCACAAAGTATGTTTGTTTCCCGCAATTGGGTAGTAATCATGCATTTATTGCTTTCAATACACTGATTCATTGAGAATGCCTGCAACAATCAAATATACCAATTCATGTACCAATTATATATTATCCAAACCCGTTTTCTGAGGAACTGGGGAATTCCTTCGAGGGGGCAGCGAGCTGTGTTTTTCTTTTTAACCACCCTTATCACCGACAAATTTCAGTGGGGAAATGGTGATAGAATTGAAGCTGTTTCTTACCATACGTGGGACCCCAAAGTCAAAGAAATTTATGTGACCAATGTTGAGAAAGGTTGCCAAGCCCTTCCCATGTAATACGGCCCCTGTTGAAGCTGCTCCTTGGCTCAGGGTGGCGCTTCTGATCTTGGTCCTGCAGTGCGTTGGCGCTGCTTGGATGGTGGAGCAGCCAATTTCATCATTGGCTTGGTGGCACCCCCGTCTCCGAGCCCTCTTGAGAAGCATCGACAGGGTTCTGGGGTATGAAAATTTTACATAGTCGATTTTGTTCACAATATCCCAAAATGGTTTTCTTTTATCTCTGGTTTCTGGGAATTTGTGTGTGTTCCACTCATACAGTATCAATTTCATACATATAAATCATGCAGCCCAACCTAAGCAAACCCAAAGTCCCAAAATGATGAAATGGTGATTTCAAATCGATTTCAAATATGGTCACTTGGTTTTGTCTACATGTTAATTGTTTAACAATTATATGTGTTTGATTTTTTGGGGTGTCATGATTCTGCACTGGGCTTGTACATATTGGGGTATGCCTGTATGAACTTTTGATTCCCTGCAGATCTATGTTTGCCGTTGGTGGATGGGGCACTACCATGGCAAAACTCCGAAGCGCCACATTTGCTGGTCAAATACCCCCAAGATTGGTCGCCTTGACAAAGGTGTTCTCAAAAAACATCAACGAGAGGAGATTGCCAAAATGGGTGTGAAGTCTGCTGCAACCAAAGTGAACAAAAAAGGTGGCAAATCCTACAGTGGTACTTCAGCACTCCGTGGTACAGGGTTTGGTTCTCAGTTTTTCCTACTTCCATATCTGTTTAAATTAATCTGTAAAATTCCGACAATGGATTCGTTTGTAGTAGGTTGTATTGCAGCTACTGAAAGAGCATCAGCACAGTTTGGCTTACATTCAAGTGACTAATTTCTGTATATTATATAATTAGATCTCGATGTTTATTCACATCAAATTCCCAGTGCTGGACCTTCCTACTCAGGACGTACCCGCCTCATTTTGGGCTTCGCTTGGCGGGACTCTACTCTGACCTCATCGAGAATCGTTCGGCCAACCCTCCAATGCCCAATGATCTGGTGGAAAACCCGACCCAATCTTTTTTTGACAGCTTGGATTGGCATGGTGACCTTTGGGATGACGCAGATCTTTTCGGCTGCATCCATTACATTCGGGGTAACCATAGCCTCAAATTAGGGGTCTGGCGCACTTCATTCCCAACATCTCTTTGAAAAGGGATGCTTGCAATTTAGATTTGAACTGCGAATCATGCAGAAATTATTTTGCATGCTACTCAGGGCTTCCCTCAGCATACAGGGGCTGCACAAAAATTATCGTTGCCCTAGCAACGTGGAAGGCTGAACCAGGATCCCGAGATAGGAAAATGGCATAGAACTGGGCTTGGGCATGTGGATTTCTTGGTGGTATCAAAACATGGGGGAATTTGTGGGGGCACCAGACTGGATGATGATTTTCATGTCTATTTTGCTAATTCAACAATGAACTATACTGAATTTTTCCAATGTTTTATCTGATTTTATGAAATTATGGGACCGCAGGGGGGGTACGTACTAGGTACGTACTAGGTACGTACCAAACCGTACACCCGTACAAAGTGCAATATTTTCCCGGAAAAGGCCGTGTTTTCCCGTACAAAAACCCAACCAAAGTACGTACTTTGGGCAGTTTTTGGCAACCTCAAAAAATCAGAAAAAAAGCATGTTTTTGGTGATTTCATCCCAGTTTATTTCAACCTTCAAGACCAAGAAGATAGAAATTGTCAAGATGAGGGAAGATGGAAAGGATATGGGTATATCTATGATCATCTATGTTGTGTTTTCCTTGTTTTCGATCTTTTACCCATTCCCACAGCCTTTTCAGATCAGATTTCTGACGAGGCCCAGGCTTTCATCTCCCCATTGGCTTGATTCAGCCTGCCAATGGTCCGTGATCAGGGGGCCCTTCGGTCGTTGCCATCAAAAAAGCATTCATGCTCAGAGCTCCAGAAGGGGCACCAGCACATGCTTAAGGTTAAGAAAGAGCGTGAATCCCCTGAAGAACTAGATCGAAAGATCAAGGAACCTGAGTTCCAAAGAATGTATAGTTGTTCAAGTATCTGTGTATAAACCCAATAGTGAAAACCACCGGGGTAGCTGAAATGCATCATCTTGTATTCCTATATATTCCTGTTGTGTGGGTAATTTTTCGATTTGGTCTAAGCAAAATAAACCTTCTATCCTTTCCTGGGGTGCCCTGTCAGGAGTACGAGGATGAGCTTAAAGCTTTGAAAGCAGCCCAAACTGCTGACTCCAAGGCGACTTGGAGCCTGCAACCTGTGGCTCTGATACCTAAAAGGGATACCAAAAAGACATGTTTACCCGCTAAAAGCTTTTCGTTTTAGGAAACCAGCGCCATAGAAACATATTTCCAAGCTTATGATATTGTAGTGTTTTGAGGGCTATGTGATTTTAGTGCCAGTCTTGCCCTAGGCGGCTTCAGCGGTTGCGAGCCCTGATGATGAGACCCAGCCAGCATCTTGGCAGCAAGCTATTAAATGGGTACTGGGTGGTGTGTGGATCGGTATGTCAAAAAAAAACGCACACATATGATCATATATTTATGGTTTATATGTTTAAATATGTTCACAACAACTGTATATGTATATATATATATATACAATTATATTCAAAGGCTTTTATATTATATATATATAGAGGGATAGATTTAGACGATTTAGATCGATAGATTTAGGAGGATGCAGCCAGCGCAATTTTATCTGTTGCGTGTTTTGTTCAGATTGGAATGATTGGAAGTTTGTTTCCCGCTTCCCCCTTATCTGGTCTTGAATCATCTTAAATCCAGATTTCCACTTCTAAGGCATCTCCAGAAGAGGTAGAAAAGGCCAGAGGACGTGCTCGCAAGGGAAAAGATACCCAGAAGAATGCTGTTGCTGAACCCAGTGAACCCAAAACACGTAGAACTGCTGCAAAGGCAGCACCCAAGGCCATGTCTGCCCCGTCGGGGCGATCCAAGAGTAAGTCTGATGATGGTTCAACTCCTGAGAGTGCCAAAAAACCCGGGGGGAAGCAGCCTGCTCAGCCCCCTTCCAAGCGCCTTCGCTCCAAGAGCTCTGGAGACCCACCTGCAGCGCCGCCACGTGATCCAAAGATTGCAGATCTGGAGAAGGTTGGGGCTGGTGGTCAATCAGTGGATTTTTTTGACTATCCTGATACATGTTGCCAACAAGAATCGGCTTAGGATCTTTGAAATCTTGATTTGTTCAACTTCAGGTCAGTAGGCAGCAAAAGTATTAGAACATCATGGCGTTGATTTAGACAGAAGTTTCGTGATTGTCCAAGCCTCTTAGCTGGGGTGTTAATATATAAATAAATAAATAAAATATAAATATATATATATGTATATATACTGATATATTACCACCTGGCTGCATGCATGCATATATATGCATATATGTGTATATATATATAAATGCATATATATATATATATTAATTAATATGTTTGTGTTTATATTGCCATTTGCAGGCCAATGCCAAGCTGAAGAAGCAGTTGGAAGCTTTGCAGAAGGCATCCAGTGCATCGACAGCCAAGCCCTCTAGTCAGAAGCGGCCACGCACCCCGCCATCGTCAGCAGCCGCCTCCAAGAAGCCAACTTTTTCGCCCCAATCTGAGGACGAAGATGGACCTGAGGACTTTGACATCTTTGGGACCCCTCGGTATGAACCTTCTGATGAGTCTGGGGGTGAAAATGAAATAGTTGGTGAAGGAGAGGAAGGTGAGGATGACGAGGGTGGGGAGAATACAAAGTAAGGTGAGGGAGAGTTGAGTGAAAGTGCCAAGAACCAGCGTTTGAGACGCATATGCGAAGTGAAACCAGGAACTGGGGTTTGCCGGGTCCCTGATGAGATTCATGCGCGTTGGAAGAAAGGTGGTACTGAAAGGTTGAAGCTCCGAGATGAACTCGAAGCTGCTGGCTGGGACAAGGAGTGGTTTTACTTTAATGTGGGCTGCATTTTCCTTTATGCTTGTACTTCCTTAAGGCAAGTATGCGCATCGAGAATACTTCTTGTATGTCATGTGATTTGCTTACATGCTATATATATTGCAGTTTTCAAATGCTTTTGGGGAACTTTGCGCAACATAAACTTACCTTCCAAATTCTGATCCAGCGATCTTTTCCTGACTGTGTTAGTGTTACGGTTTCGGCAGGATGAGTTCGTCAATGCCATTATCAGAATCAAGGAAAAAACCAGCAAGTTCACCCGCCATAAGCGCAGAGGGTGGTACACGAAAGAGAAGATGAAGGTCAAGTTGGGTTGGTCGAAGTGCCTTGTCAGAATTTGCGTCTCGCACCCATATAAAACTTAGTTACTTAGTTGGGGTTGGCGGTGGCCAAACATACGCTAAGGAACATCTGATCACCTTCACAGTAAGGAACGGCATTCTTTTGAATAAACTTCAGTGGGGGGATATTGCAAAATATTGCAAAGCTCAAGTCCGATATGTGATCGTGTTTTGTTCTCTTCCCCCTGCCCTTGTTCCACCCAACTTGCAGGAAATACATCGAGCGCGTGGTGAAGTACTGCGAGCGAAAGGGGAATGAGGCC